GACTGTGAGAGCGAAGTGTTCTTTCTGTGTGAATGAGTCTAAAAACTTATGTTTTTTAAAGAATCTATTGATCGTTTTATTCTAGTCCAATTTTCTCTTAGTTTGTGAACTCATTTGTTGTCAAAATATGAATCTCTTGATATCATTGTCAATGTTTATTTTATAAGCGAGTCGAAACCAAAACATAACCATTGATCCATTCGCTTAATCGGATAAACAAATATAAACTATAGTATTATAATGCTTAGATAGTTAAAACTTCAGTGACTGGTTTGGGAGCCAGGTGTAATCAAAGCTCCTTTTTTTAGAAACTTTATTCGGTGGCATTACTAGCTAGCAATCACTGTAAAACCCTATGATTAAGATAATTAATTACCCTTATAACTGACTTCAAATTAAAAAGGACAATGAGGAGGAGGAGGATCTCTATTTGCCTTTATTTTTTATGTTTGTTACCCGACTTCTTTGTCAATTTTCGGTCGAATTTTACTATTTTATCTTCATTTGTAAATTCAAAGTTGTCTCGAAGTAATGCACAAGTTAATTCTAAAAAGAAAAATTTTTTTCTTGGCGAGGCTAAAATCGGCGCGTCATACTAAAATCACGTGTCATCCGTTGTCACTATAACTAAGTTCGAAAGCTGGATTGCGCATTTATGTAGCGATGAAAGTAGCAATTATCTAACTGGAGTATATAATCTTATCGTTTGATTTTATCTCTAGATTGCTTCACCTGGGTGCGACTCAATGAAATAACTTTCAACACCAATTTTCATACTTTTATTTCTTTTTTCATTTTATACTTTGTATTCGTTCGATGAAACAAAATGGTGGAAAGAAGGTTTTCTATTACTAAGATAAACTTTACTGAAGCAAAATAACAAAGGCCCTGATGCTCATAAGTTATTGCAGTAGGTATTGAAATGCAACTAAACAGTTTTTAATAATTTGTTCCTCATAATACCACTCGGGGACAATCCTCATATCAGTTAGTCATGTTTTACAGCTAACGTTTCCATTAAACTAAGTGTATTTGTTTCTTAGGTTTTCACGCACATCACTCATTAAATAAAACTAGTTTTTTTTTCAATAAATAAATAAAGTTTCGTGCTTTAACGCGTGAAAAACTAGTTTTATTTAAACTAGGTGTAGTTACGAATATTTACCTACTTATTCATCCAGCCACACGGGGGACTATGAACTTTATTATAGTTGGTACTATGACAAAATACAATAATGACGACAGGTGTAGCCGCGTGTTCGCTCAAGCGTCGCGCCAACTCCGGATACAAGGGGACGATAACACAAGGTAATGCCAGTCCGCTAGTTCGTTACTATCCTTGTTAAAAGAGCTTAGAAGGATATCTACAACCTGATCGCTCTTTTTATTCATTTCTGGAAAAGGCTTGACGCCGTCCTTCGCCACCGCGAGCGTGCGACGAGAATATCTGTAACTCCTCCCTACTCATTTCACCCAACTCGAAAGTTCGATGAAATTAGACCCAGACGTAAAACCAGAAAATACTCCTGCACCTGTCACCCGACACGCAATCTGAGGACCAAGGTCGCCCCAATGCGTGTTGGGAGTGCGGGTTGAAGCAAGAACGAAGTACTCCGACGTGCGGTTTCCCCTACAACAGAGGCACCACACATCACAGGAACCATGCAGTCCAGACTGGTGTAAGGAATATTCAACCTTATCGCCTAAGTCATGCTATGCGTTCATTTATAATAATGAAGGTAGACGGAAGCCAGGCCAGCCTTAACCGTTCCCTAAAAGGAAGTTTTTCAATGAAATTAACGCTTCGCAACAAGTGGCTTCGGTTACACACAACGTGACCACTACACGTCACTCATAAACGTAAACAACTTTAGTGATTCCCACTAAAACGGTGACAGGCGTGATGCAGGTAAGCTCCAACCCGTTTTTTTGTGTGGGCGCAAACGTTTCGATAAAAGAATAAATAAACAAACGTGCTACAGTAACAGGTCGTAGAAATGTTTGCCTTGTTATCACTAAAACTACTATTTTGTAAGGTACATAAGTCGCCGTTAAAGTTCTCTTTAATGCTTTTACTCTTAGTACTTACCGTTGATTAACCTATTAGGTTTATGTGGATCACACGCTTGCCATTTTCAATATCGCTGGTTCATTAGCTAGATAGAACAGTCACGGGCAACTTAACCAAAAGGTTAACAAACCTTCAGTACGTAATCAAATTAATGAATATTTAAACGCTGACAATGCGTATTTGATTACAGTCCTATTTGGCTACCTAACGAAACTACTCCATACTTTTGGCGAGGCTAAAGTTTTACAATACATCATTTTTATTCGAGGACCGTACCACCGTCCTGTTGCCAAGAATAATGATCGTGTTTATACGTCTAACTACAGTGTTGGTTACAATTCATATGAGTGGGGTGGATTGACTGATCTTTTTTATTTGGTCGGGTATCATTGCTGTTGTAAGAAATTAGTATGCATGTAGACGTGAGCTTCCTCTGAACTCGCTATGTCTTGAATTTATTCACATATAAAGCACGCTCGGTCAGTATGTTTTGTCATAAAAACAATATTCATCTTATAAAATATTCGTCATGTCAACCTGCAGTTTAGTTTTCTTATTTACAGTTACAGTTTTTATTGAAAATGTGTTACTTTACATGGCTATTCGTGTATGCCCCATATCTAAATATGACTTTAGTTTCCTTTTCATTATTTAAATCGTAAGCAAGCATTGCAAGCAATTTGTTTACATGCTTGCTAGTTTATGATAGGATGTGTGTTGATTTAATTAACACTGGTGAGTTAGCTTCTTCATTGGATGCAGGCAGGCCTGCATACCGCCATTGAGTATTATCAAGATCAGCAGACGTACGCGTCTTATCGCTCGATTCACACAACAAAGAATTGCTGTTCCGTGTTTTTGTATGAAAAGTCTAATTACTTATATCATTTGATTGATGTTATGTTTATTAGTGAAACATAACATTTATCATAATCGTCGAATCAAGAATTTGTGATCTCTACAACTGACAGACTTACAGGTCAACCCAGTAAAACAGTGCGTCTCTCATAGATGTGGTCATCATTATGAATAATCAATAAATGGGACGACTAATATAGCTATCACCCTATTAAAGTAGCCCTCTTATGCAGCCCTTGCGATCTATTGTATCGAACACAGCCTGCATCGCCGATGACCTACATAACAGGCGTTAACAACTGCAAAAGTTTAATCTCACGACTAAAACAGGGTTGAACATTACAATGATTATATTAAATCTTCATTCACAATCACAAGCGCAGAAAACTGAAATAATATGTTTTAAGTTTATTTATGTTAACGTTATTGTATAGTTTTATTTAAAGTGAAATTATTTTTAAGTCTATAAAATGTATCCTTCGTCGCTCGGGAATAATGTAACTTAAAAACTGGTGAAAGGATATCGAAAATCGGTTTCGTTATTACAGAGATTACTACCTATAAAACCAACAAACATACTTTACCTATATACAAATCTCATTATTTGATAACAATATACTAATGGATTTCTAGTTTTAGAAAATATTGTGGACCTAGATGTGAACCCTGCGGAACCCATAAGCTTTCTATCTCACGTTATCAACAGCTCGATAACTAGTTCTCCAGGCGGCACGGCATAGCTTTCAAAGCCCTTGCATTATGTAACCGTGTTTTATGTCTTGGGCACCGCTTGAGCAATCAGTCGTTCGTTTTGGTTATCCTCATTCACACGAGAGAGCTTTTGATTATTTTAATCATTTCCACTGATTTACACTCAAAGCTAAAAAGTAATCAAAAACAATAGTAATATTAAAATCATTTCTTACTACAATAATATCAGATTTATAAAAAAATGTTGGTACTTCATAATAATACAAATAATCCTTTTAGCCTTTGAACACAGTGACTCTTATCATCACCAGTTATGAACTTGGTAGTTTTCTTATTATGTATATTATACCATTATTGATATATTTCCAAAAGTTCATTTATAACTATAATTATATAAGCATTATTAGGTAGAGAAATACAGATACTTTGGAATGTCGCGACGCATGGCATCTAAGCCAAGATTCTTACGTAATCATAAGCATCATTGCATTTTTGTCTCCCTATATTTCATTCCGATATTGTGATGATTAAGAAAACATCTTGAAATTGTAACTCTTTCGTTGTGTTTTTGGAAGATAATGAGGCTTCACTCTCACTGCACACCCATAAAATATTGTATACCAGGTTCGCAATTTCCTGCCATGTCTTCTTCGCCCATCTTGAGACGGAAACACGCTTCCTTCACTTTCCAGTTGGATGCCTCTGACCAACGGGTTGCACGACCAGGACTTCGTTATAGTCTTATGTGTGCTTAAAACCCGACTTTTACAGTCGTCTCAGTCTTTGTAGTTAAGTAAAAAGTGCATTTGTAAAAATGTGTTAGTCAACGTTTTATGTTATGTAGGTAGCCTTTACTCTGAAACTGTTCATTGGAGATTTCGTTCCGTTTTGTGCGATAAAAACTTCTTATGAACACGAGGAGAACATATTCCGTGATCAAAGTAATTTGTATTGCAGCTTTCTATCGTCTGTTTTATTCTGTTTAGAAAATATATTTTTTCGTCGTTAGCGTGCAGATAAAGCATAACTAAAAAGCTGATTGGAAATTGTTTCTTTTTTTCAATTTGATTGTTTAAAATCACAGAGATATTATTATTATTTTTTATCTCGTCTGTACGTAAAAAACCTTTAGTGTTGAGTACGTAATCACAAAGCTTTGTATGTAAATACATCAACGCCGGAGGTCTCAAATTAAAATCCGACATCAAAAGTTGTAGGATCAGTAAAATCAGTATGTATGCAATGAAATTTTTTTTTTCTCCAAATCGGCATTTTCTTTTCTTATTTAAAACAATGTTTATAGTTATATTAATATCATATTGTGATCGAGTGTTCCTTTTTTTCGCATTTATTTTACTGCCCACACTTCACGGCTAATTACTAATTGTTCTTCAGTAGAAGCTACTTACTAATAATCTTACTGAAATGTTATTTCCAGACGTCAAATTAAACAAATCCAAAAAAGATTATCCTTATTCTTGTATCTAATCTAAAAATAAGAAACATTTCGTCGCGTGCTCTCTGTCGCTTGTCATTATGGTTCCCTGCGCCGGCGCATCGTGGGGAGAGCTTCATGCACGTGCTCAATTACGAATTCAAAACAGCACACATGATGGTGAACAGGCACATGAAGATCCCCTTTTTTATTGCAAAATATGTTAAAAGAAATACCACAAGAGAAACCAGGACATGTAAACATTATATGTCAGCCTTATATTTAATTACAAGCATAAATTTATCATTTTATTTTTATTAAATTACATGTTTGCTGTTTGTTAAAAGCAGTACTATTTAGAATTCTAAAAATTCAGATTCGTAACGACAATAAGACGTTGGTACTATTGGTTCTTCGTCGTAGCGCTCAAAATTACTAGTGTCACCTGGATTTTTATACTTTGGAACGAAGGGAGGTGGAATTCGGCAGTTTAATATTGCATCCCACACGATCCCTCTAAACCATTTGTGATTTTTGTAATCCATCACCCCGTTTTTCATTACACCGTAACGTTTGCTAATATCCACCTGAAGCACGTTTCGAACGAGGTCCCTCAAATCCGCGTTGAAACTCGAGGGGCACCTGTATTTTCCAGCCACGATCTTTTCATAAGTTTTCATTGGTTCGTTTGCGTAAAATGGAGGGTATCCCGCATTCATCTCGTACAAAAGAACGCCAAACGACCACCAATCCACTGAAAATCCGTAACCTTTACTAAGAATTAATTCTGGAGCTAAGTACTCAGGAGTCCCACATAATGTCCAAGTCCTTCCTTGTAAAATCTTACAAAAGCCGAAATCAGTTATTTTTAAGTAACCATTTCTGTCAATTAATATGTTTTCAGGTTTGAGATCTCGATATACTAAATTGCAAAAATGTAAGTATTCCAATGCTAGTAGTACTTGGCTGGCGTAGAATTTTGATAGCGGCTCTTCGAACTTTCCCATTCGACGAAGATGGGTGAACATTTCACCGCCTGGCACGAACGGCATTATGAAATAAATGTAACTGTTATCCTTGAAACTGAATTCCATAGATACCGTAAAAGGAAACCTTATTGCTTCTAAAATACGCTTCTCATATAAAGTATGATCCACTTGCTTCATTTTTATAATCTTTTCTTTTTCCAGTACTTTCATTGCGAATAGTTTTCCACTTTTTGTGTGTTTCATTAAAACTACTCTCCCAAAAGCACCTGTGCCTAATGTTTTTACACGATCTAATTCGGAAAAGGCAATAGGAAATTTGGGAGTTTTCCGCCAACGTTGCTCGAACTCAGTTTTTAGTTGCTTTAAGTGATTCGTGTATTGTTGCTGTTGTTGTTCAGTATATCCTTCTTGAAATTCTGAACTGTTGCCTGATTTATAGTTCAAGTCTTTGGAATTTGGGGCGTAACCTTTTCGTGAATACATTTTCGATAATGTACATTATCATAACATTGACATTTGTTGAATTTGTGCTTCGTAGCCATCGAGAGAATAAAGGAATGAGTATTTATATGTTACGTACGGTGATGTAAAATTTAAGGGATATTACTAATTTCCTATCGCGAATTTGTTAGGGGAGTTCAGAAATCTGTTCCGAATGTTGCCGACGACATCGAAAGTAGTAGAGGGCACACAAGGGTGCGGGGTGAGGGGTGAACGAACGGGCCGTGGGGGAATCAGCTGTGTTTAGGGGTGATATGCTGGGCTGCGACAGCCGGTCGCCGTCCCGACTGTTGTATTGATCAGTCGGCACGTGGATATTGTATACTCACAAAACTTCGTTTTCCTCTTATATAAATGTCTATTAATTTTACAATGATGTATATTGTATGTAGCAGTATTTTTTGTATATTCTTGAATTACACTAATAGCTTTGTTATTTTATTTTGCCAGAAAGTCATTTTCACTTCCAAAATATAACTAGTTTATCTTGTGTACTGTATTCAGATGCTTGAACGAATGGTTTGATGCTACTCTTTATTTGCTTGATTTCATTATATCTAATAGGCAAACCTCAATCTTATTACGTTTTAGTGGGCCAACAATCGTGACACTGCGAATAGGTGCGGATGTTCGTTATAGTACCGTTACTGGATTCGACAGACGTTGTGTACAAACTTATATGTTCCGTTTTTTATCACGATGACGCATGACACCTCGTGTTGTAAAACTTGGGGCGACGTTCGGCGAATTCGAAATTGATCCTATATACCGAAGACTGCATTGGAAAGGTCTGAAATTGTATCGTAGTAACTTTAAAAGATGTTACTGTAAGTGAAGAATGTCAAATCGCCGTTGGTGGCACACGAACAAGGACAAATGTTATTACATTCAGGCAGATCGTCTTTATCTGTAATTCAGATTTTTGATGATTTTGAAATATTGTATTAAGTTAATGGTATTTTATGTGCATGGGGGACAGCTCCGGCCACAGGCCAATCTAATGTTTGTGGTCATATGAGATACCACGTCACAATCTATTGAGCAAATTTTACAGTGTGTGGTGTATTTCGTAAAGGCATACCATTGCACAGTAATAATCGAAATCATAGGATTTTCTTCGTGTACATAAATCCACGGTAAAAATATTCTTAGTATAAAGGACACCCGGCATTTTGTGCCAAAGTTGTATACTTTTTTAATTTTTTTATCTGTGTTTCATAATTGGGTAACGTAGTCTGGCAATATTTGTCATCAGCAGCTAGCTGTCAATGTCAAATACGTAGGTTTGTCAATATAACCTCTATATGTAGCCGGGTCGTCAAGAGAAATAACGGATAAAAAGGCAATCACAGCAGAGAACATTCACAATCTCAGTACGCGGGAGCGGATGCGAAATGCGAATGACTTTTTTGTTTGTATTTTAGGATTGTCAAATTGACATTTGGTTTTTTATTTAGAAAAAGCAAAGGAATCATGGTTTTTACAGTCACTTGAGTAATATTTTGAAGTAAAATTCTGTCCCTTGAAGATTTAGGGTTTCCATATCAAAAAATATTAATCATTATATAACTTCTTTCCACGATTCACTAAAAATAAGGCAAAAGTAGTTTTATGAAGCAAATAATATTGGCTTTATTTTAAGACCAAATTCAACTGTATACAAGTTTAGCATTTTTTCTATGAAAAGTGCCGGGTCTCCTTTAGAGGAATTTATTCTGAATGCTCGACTTACAATATCTGTATGATTGGACTGGCTTTACAGTTATCTTTATGAAACTGAAATGCTTCATTCTCGTTTTTAATATGATACTGTTATATTTTAGAGTGCCCTTGCACAATTAAGTTTTTGACTGAGATTGTCAATAAACACTATGTAATCTTAACTTAAAATAGTATTCAGGAGCTAGTTTCGTTTGCCTATCTCGACTCTTTTTGTCTATTAGATATACTGTACACATATAATAATGATCTGTAATTCGGTGTTGCACTTTGAAATAAACACATTGTTATTCCCACCCCTTGGTTTGAATTGGAAATTGATGAACGTAATATTACAACAATGCCTGCTCGCTCACTGAATAGACTGACTGAACGGCTGTCTCTGCTGCCGTGTGTTTGGTTGGATTTATAGCCGCAGTCACCGGTCAAGGTTGTGGAGGCCCGCATTGCAACTTGGCAAGTCACCAGTTTGGCGCATTCGAATTCTTTTTTGCAATAACTACTAGAGAGAGATGATGTTTGGAATCTTCAAAACAGTACAGCGTTACAGATTCGTCAAATGGAATATGTGAAAAAAAAACAACGGAGAAAATGGCTCAATTTGAAAAGTAAAAATTGATTAAAGATAAGACAGATATGTAAGACAAATGAAAGTAGCAGCAATTCAGTCCAGATAGATGTCCTTTTTTACATTATTTTCTCGTAAAAATTTCTTTATATAATATCGCTATCCCTAACAAGCAAGTTACTCTAATAACAATAACTTTAAGACGGAAAAGTTTTCAAAGAGGCCCCTCTAACTTGAAGCCTCCTTTTGATTATGTTAAGTATTAGTTGGTGGCGGTTATTTTTCAAGGACTCTAATGGCAACGTAAAAACTAGACTACAAACTCGTTTCAAACATACATAAAACACACGAGTGTTGCAGACGTTTCATAATTATCCATTGGCTGCTAACAACATTTAAATAATAATTTTGACGTCAACAAAGACGCATAGAGTAAAACGAAAGTACAGTTTATTTTTGTAGTCTGGCAGGATGAATAGCTGATGTGCCAAAGATATCAGTGTCTACTACTACTACCTACACAGACGCTATAGTAAAAATTGATTCGACCTTCTTGAGCAATATAGCCTCTGCATTTATATTATTAATAATGATATTCTAGGATGTCGTCGTTGGCTCATGTCGTCCAGTCTTCATTATGGAACGCATAAAATATAGTTCAGCGAAAAATGCTTTTATGTATTATCTAAAGCTGAAGATAGTCGCTGTCAATATGATATTGACAGCGACTATCTGATCACTGCATTAATTTGTGAAGCTTTCCCCTTCAACAATCTAGATAGCTACGTTATATGATTTTATTAAAAAATATTACTAATGCATACATTTATGAGGATCTATTTATGCATAACCTACGTTATTTACGCGGTGTCAGTCAAAGGTTCACGGTCGTTGCGTATTTAATGCCCTTTTACCCTCTGCCGTACCTTCATCAAGCTAAAATATCTCACCTTTTACATTAAAAATACCTATTTCTAACCAAGGACTTTAGTTAGAGATCGTTAGCTTACATACACGTTAAGTACACGCTTGTAAGTGATGCGGTTTGTTTTATTTTGGTCCTACGATTATTGTTCTAAGCAGGAAAATTATTTTGGTACTTCGAACCCTATTATCGGGAGACGTAATGTTGTTTTGAATTACTGTGGCTTGCCTGGTACAAGATGTTTGCTCGTTCCAGTTAACAAAATTAACGATCACCGTCTTGGCCCGATTACGTCACCCAAATCCGAAGCTCGAGTTGGCACTTCTATTAAAATTCAAGAAATACCAAAGAATACATCACATGTTTATCCTAGTTATTTGGTAGGTCATTTTCATTTCAATATTAATCCACGTTTTATTTTCACTGATATCTGTCTGCGTTTAAATGGTTGCAATTCAAGAATCTAACCAAAACATCTTATCCACGGTACTATAAAACTTATGTTAAGTAATTTTTAACGTATATTGAAATTGCGTCTTTGATGCTGATGTACGTTATTATTATTAATCTATTCAGAGTTTCGCTCAGACTTAGCATGAGTCACCGTAGCGTTTGTAGCTGAACAGTCTTATTCACGATATCCACCGGAAATAATGACACGATCTTAAACGCTATAGCATAGACTGTGTCATTTACGCACATTAATATTTCTTAACATACCGATACGAAATGAAGGATAACGTCAATGCTCTCTTGCGTAAGTGCATCGATCTAATCTGTAATTACAGTTGACCGCTGAACATTGCTGGCAGGTATGTTTCGTGTCTCTTAATCAAGGTACTGCCCTAGTAAACTTTATGAATTCGAGGACGCCTTTAAACTTTGACTTTGGCCCACGAAGTCACTAAAACTTTCATCATGTCTGAAGTAGTTACTCACCTTTATTGTGCAAGACGCCACCCCCTCGTCATTAAAGCTTAGGAGCTTCCTTTTGTCATCGGCGACAGTGTCCCTGTCACTGAAGACAGAAAACCTTTATTCCACAGCTCCGGGCTCCGTCCTGCAGCCTTAATGGTTTTTCTTCCCTTTGTTCCAGAAAATGAGTTCTTTGGTCGTTCTCATAAGCTACTGTAAAAACTGTTTTCTAAGTTTAAATTTAAACTTAGAAAACAATCTTCAGTTGTGTTATGTTTAATAGTTTAATTTGTGTTCCAAAATGACGTGACCTAATTTTTTGTCGTACTATCCACAAAGCCACTGGGAATTGAGTCCATTTACTTTATTAGGTACTTCATTATGTTACTGCATACTTAAGTTATCAGTCCTTTTATGTTTTTTTTATAAAATAATCTACCGAATTCAAATATCAACCTTGTTATAGCAATTATCTCAGATTTACAGATGTAATCGGTGGCAAATCTTATGAATATGGAATTGGTAGTAGTATTCATCCCAAAATCAATAGAAATATGCATATAAAAAGTCATATTTTCATTTATTTCTGTGCTTGTATGTTTACCAAACCTTTTAAATGAAGAAACGTTCAAAAGTCGAAATTTCTCACGAAAACCATAAGGGAACACAAACCTGTTTTAAACCGTTCTTGTTGCACATTGACACACATTTTGAGACTTGTGCCGACTCCTACAATTAGAGACTTGATAAGGGAGTTGTTACCAATAAACATTTTGTATAGACGGTTAATCAGGTTCATTTCATATTGACATTATTAAAATGTGCTGCGGCGTGGGTGATTATCGCCTAATAGGTTGTATGTATTTTTAAAATCAAATTTGTGTTTAGGTATTTGCGGTGTTAGAAGAGCTCTCATATTATATTACTACAATTCCATCTATAGGTCAATATTTACATTCTAGATTAAAAATACTTCTTTCAATCTTACGCGACTAGTTTCCCGATATGAGAATAACCGTGACAGCATTCTCACTATGATGACATTGTGTTTGTGTCGATATTGTAATCTCGATTCATCTTATCCGTCCGTACATGTATAGTATTATTGAGCTTGAATCACCTCAACGATAAATTTCCTACTATTTTTTTGTTATCAACATATTATTCCTTGTATAGTTATCAATGTGCATTGCTTTTGATATCTTATTCATTTCCTGGAATAATAGCATTCAAATATAGCTATACTGTAACCATTACACTTTTATCCTATCGCAATCATCGGTTTTGTAATTTGAATTCTAGCTATATGGCATGGCTTGTCACACGTGGTAAGGGATCTGGGCGCTAAGTTGCTTTGGGGAATATTTATATGAATACTTAAATGCTTGTGTAATATTAACCAGCTGGATCTTCCTATGAATTCTAATAAGCATCTGAATTACTTAATAATCTCTGTCTCTGCCTTGGTTGCGGTTGAATGTAAGTAGATATCACCACAACTACCCTTACAACATAACTCGTGTCAACGAACCCATCAACTGGTTTACCTGCCTGCGTTTCTGTACTAACGAAGTTAGATTCATTTTGCCCATTAATGTGGGCGTGTAAAGTTGCCTGGAGACTGCTAATTATCAAAGACCCTGCAAATAATTGTTCTAAACTAAATAAAAGTGTTTATGCAACGCTATTTACCTATTTCTTTTTTGTTAAAGCATTAAACTACTGGGTTTTTGCGTTAATTATGTTGTTACAGCTCTAAGTTTATTGATACTATTATTGATACTATTCAATTATGTAGTTAGTAAGTTACAGTTATCGTTTTTATCATCTTGGAAATAATATTATGACGGTCAACCATCACGGGAAATAATAACTTCTCAAACTTTTCTAAGACGTCAACTAAGCGACAAAAGCGCTCACACTATATATTCTCAAAGCTGCTATTACTTTAGCCGTACACCGTGACAAAAGAATGGGGAATATTATTTGCCCCCTGGAACACTCACTCCTAGGGTTGCAACGATATATCGGAATATCGATATTTCGTAGACTTAATTTGAAAACAATAATATCAATTAATTTACCTGCTATGACTATCTAAATTGAATAATATCGAAATAACTATTGCTTTGAAATTGCAAGAGCTTATAGATGTATTAAAAAAATCTTGAACCCCAAGAAATATACTAAACTGGTGTGGACTCTGGCATGTTTCTCTAAACCTAAAATTAAATTAGACAACAGTGTATCCTTGTCATTCTCTATACAAAATGAAAAGGAGAGACTGATGTTAAATTTAGTTTTCAATTTAGATAATCATGCCAGAATCGACACCAACGTATATAGGTATAATCGTATACCTAATGGTAACTCATGCACTTAAATAAAATCCTTGCCTCTCTTTCTAGATAATTGTCAACTACTGATTAATTGAAATTTAATGTCATTGTAATATAACACAAAATAAAATTAAGAATCTTATACAAATCGTAAATTTTTTAAGCTCGCCAAGTCAAGAAAGTAATATAGGTATAGTAATTTTGGAAGCTTTGGGCTTACCCTATTCTGAAGCCTGATGTGTAGGTTTTACTAATTCATAACAATTGTTTTCATATGAAAATCAGAATAGATAGTCATATGATTATCTATTCTGATTTTGGCTGCGTGCAAATATTTTAAACAAAATAAATATCTTTGATTCGAAATTGCTTTTGATTTGATACTTCTTACAGCGCTATAAAAAATATAGAAAATATCGTGTTGAAAATGTTGGAATGGCTGACATATCTGATCGGATATCGATATTTACCTGCCCACATTATAAATATCGATATTTCGGAAACCTTTGCTTCCTTAATTTTAGGTTTTTGCTTTGCAAACTTAATACAAAGCAAAAAAAGAAAAAAATATCGATATATCGATAATATCGAGTTAAAATGGTCGATATATCGGATATCGATATTTGCCTGACTTCGATATAAATATCGATATTTCAAAAGACTTTGCATCCCTACTCACTCCCCTTTCTATGTTCAGTAAAGCTTTTACTATTTGGTTTCATTTTCGGTTATAAGTTTATAAATATAAGGTCTCATAATTTATACTAAGTCATATTAACTGAGGGCTTCTTTGTTTCAGATCTATCAAAGAACAGGTTCAGTGAAGTGCCTGATGAAGTCACGACGTACGTTTATTTGGAAAAGCTATTGCTGTCGCAGAATGTCATAAGAAGCGTTCCTGGTACTGTGGGAGGCTTACAGTCTCTAACATATTTGGACCTTAGGTAAGTTCTTAATTACTTGCAATGTATTTTTTTTCAATAGTTCCTTGTTTTCGTTATTCCTTATCTATACTGCATAAATATGGTTTTTTATATAAAAAAATGAAAACTTACCATAAACTAATCAAATTTTATTAATCTCGGAATGCTTAATCTATTACAAAATCACGTTAGGTGTAATATATAAGTTATCTGCAGTAATTTATACATTTATGAATTTAACTATAATAATATCTTTTGTATTATTATTGTTACACCAAATATTTTCTTTGTGTAGTATAAAATAAACTATCACAAATCGTGAACTAAACTTAAGCTTCTTTTTAACATAATGTGTTTTTTGTTTACCTAATTGAGGAGATAATAGTATCATACATATTTAGAACGGGTTTAACTTTAGTCAACGTTTCATTAACTTACCAAATTCTATATATCTCTGACTGCCATTGCCTATAGGCAAATTCTTTGAAATACATAACATTTTGATTACTTATAACTAAAACAATTTCTGTTCCCTACTACTACTCGTATATCCGAAATTAGCGTTTCTTAATACTTGCATAAGATCCATTTTAACGTTAATTCTCATTTCCTCTGGTATTGATTTGAAATGAGGCAGTAGTGACAAAAGGAACATCCTATCAGGGTCATCAGAGTCTGATTTCTGTTCAACACTTGCAAATACGAACTCTTCAGTAGTCGGTTTGCTATGCTTACGAACTTTCGACGGTGGTGCTTCAACATCCTCATTCAAATACTTGATAGAATCGTTGTCTGATACCTCATTGTTTTCCTCTTCGGAGCTCTGGTCATCGTCTTTCCTTAGATTCAATCTCCTCTTTGGTTTCCAAACTTTTGGTTGTCTCGGCGCCTCTTCTGAATCGCTATCACAAAAATAACCGTCGTTTCGTGTTATATGATTCTTGAGGAGGAACTGTAACTGTTTGTTATAAATGTATGGCTTTTTTGTTCTATTCGGATTCTGTACGTATTTTTGAAAGCAATCCCTAATACTTTTCCATTTCTTTTGTAGTTGAATTTCTGAAAATAACAAATATGCACTCATAAATACTAAGTATTTCTAATTAAAATAGTGTTTGATTTCTAATGAAATAAGTGAACGCTATTCTGAGTTAAGTAAGTTATGTCACAACGACACGTGCGTGTGACTAATAGGTGAGTGAGTTAGTTTGGATTTATGTGACGCTGGCTCGCATCGTTGATCGTACGTATCATATGGCGATTGTCATAATCAAATTATTTTGCATTAAAGTAATTAGGTTGATGCATATAAAAAGAAAAATATACAGAATCAAATACAAAATCCATAGTGTAATTTAGCGCCAGTATTGAAAATAAAGCGCGCGTAATCACAATTTTATCAATAGTGATATGTTTTGAGAAAACTCATTAACGTTTATTTGAAGATTCAAGGATCGATAATATTTTTTGTTGAATAAATATTTTAACACGTATGCACGTACGCTTTGCAAAAATATATTATTGTTTTGAAGAACAAATTAATTATATGTATCTATTAACTTAGTTACCGACATCGGTAAAATCTATTCAAATAGTACGAAACTAAATCATCAGTTTGATTAATTGTTTGCTTACCGAGTTCACGCATCTCGCTCTTCGACACCTTAACGTCTGTGTTCAACAGTTCCGTTACGACTTCGGACCACAGTTGATGTCTCACGTTTTTCGCGCGGTACTCCGCATCTTCGAAGTCCCAAATGCCAGGCCGCTTCTTTACCTCTTCTATCAACCTTTCAGGGTCATATTCAAACTGCATTATGACCTATTTTTAGATAATGCACGGCGTGAAAACGCAAACAGTGTGTACTTATGAACGGGCGGGCGAAGAGCGACTGGCGCGCGGCAGGGGAACGCTGCGGTTTCGCTCCAAAATGGCCGCTAGTCAGTAAGGTGACCCGGATTTTTAATCAGGAAATTAGGACAGCTTTACTTACTTCAATACTCGATTACTTTATCAGTTGGTAATGACTTAAATTGTTAAATGAAATCTATTATATAATATGTTGAATAGATATTGTTAAGTTTCAGTCAACAATTAGTTAATGTTACTGATATGCGAAAACGTGTTAATGGTGTCTAGTTTCTTAATTATTTATATTTTTTATGGCTATTAATTAAAGTTGTTGCTAAAAATAGCACTATACGTTTTCCAAACAAAATAATATAATAATCTAAATAAATAGGCGTCATTTATGTACTGTAAATAGCACCTACTATGTAAAATTTTATTGCTAACGGAAGTGAGTGAAGTAAGTCATTGTAGCATATTTATGCTTATGACTTATTTATTTAAATATAATATAATAAATATAAATATAAATATGTACCTTGATTTCAATATATAACATTGAGGATGGCATCCCGTTTGTACTTTTAACTCCACCGTCACTGAACATCAGGTGTGGGGTGGGGAGGAGTCATTTGTTCGGGTTGGAAGTCCCGGACGGCAGCTATTGACTAATATTTTAAATGCGAAAATGAGTTTGATTATTACGCGTTTAAAGACGGAACGTATAAACCACTGAATTGATTTTGTTGAATTATGATGTACATTTACTCGTTAAAATAAAATTCGGTAGTAGGAATAGAATGAGGGATGAAGTTTTGTATGCGAAATTAGTTAAAACAAGCAGACGAGGGTGCGAGCACCCGCTTTCGCAAGAAAACTTTCAATTAATATAAATATAAAAAAATACATTCATGTAATCGTTCTATAATAATGGTCACCCTATAAAACGGCTTTATCTATCGAGCGACGCGCGTCGGCCGCCAGCCGCCACCAACCGGCGGGCGCAGCGCGCGAGGGGAAACCGCAGCGGGGCGCGGCCGCGCGGCACCGACCGGCGGACGCGACCGCTGAACTTGCGGCTGACTGAACTAGACAGAAACCAAAACACAGAGCGTATTTTCATCAGCGAGAAACTCTATATAGCATTAGATTTTGCGCGCTATAGGTAGAAAACCAGCCATCTAGTTACCAAAAACTAAAATATGTATGTACTTAATTAAAAAAAAAATAAGGTACATACATATTTTCAAATAATGTAAAACTCAAATTCACGAAAATAAAGCTCTCTAAGAACAAATTGACGTTTTGGATAATTTGCAATGTGGCTGGCCATAGCCTTTCCTTTTATATAATAGCGTTTTTATAATAAATTTGGAACCGGCCGTGGTAATCATTTTCTAAATTAATAAAGCTTTTTTTTTGTTGATTATGTAACATAGTTTATAAATGTGTAGTCTCACGCCGAGCTCGCCAAATCTTTTACCTAATGTTTAGCGTAGCCATGTAATTTGCATTATGATACCTATCTTAAATTAATTCCTGTTGGTTGGCATTGTGTTAATGATGAGCAGGAAATTGAATTACATACATTTCTAATTCGCTTCCTTGAAACTTATTTTTCTCTCGTAAATAAATTAATTGTAATAGTTGCTTTTTGTTTTGGAAAATAGTGTCTAATGTGATTATGATATCAATACATATAATAAAATGGTAGGAAAGTCAAAACTGTACATTGAATATTTTTTTTAAAGAATACTTGGGATGTGATCTACAACCGATACCGAAACCAAAAATATAGTTTTTAGATTTTTTGCCTGTATGTATGTCCGGGATAAACTTAAAAAGTGCTGCATGGATTTACTTCAAATTTGGCACGAATATTATTAAGAAGTTCGGTCAACATATGGGCTACATATTATCACGCTATCACCTACGGGCAACGAGCAGTAAACCTTTTTTTCTAACTAAGTCCACGCGTACGAAGTAGCGGGCGGCCGCTAGTTAACAATAAATTTTATTAGGCAGTAAGTAGTTACACTTACTTTCCTATTCCTACTTTTTTCTTGTTCTCTACCATGTTGCATTTTTTTAGGAAAGATCAGTTTCGTGTTATCGTTAACCAGGAATTCAGGATTACTTATTATATTATCAACCCGTATCATCTATCAAAATTTTATTCTACACGCGTTTTAATCTAGGTAACTATAATAGTAGTCCTGCACACTTCATTTAAAGAATTACTAATCAGAATCATAAAGCATAACATAGCTACTACGTTACATCATTTCTGTTTATAATACCTATAGATTTGCTCTTATGAATTCGCTAATGTTAAACACATTATAAGTACTTATATGAGCTATTCAAAGATAGGATATTTCAGTTTCTACCAAGATGCAGAGGTATCACTTGCTATATCTTTGATTTTAAGTTAAAAGTAACGATAGATCTTTTTCCAAATATTCACTAAGATCAGGAATGTTACCCAGTCGAAGTAAGAGCGATTTACTATTATTGATATTTGGATATTTTGGCTTTAACGTCTACATCTCCAGCTAGAAATGAAAAATACGTAGCTGACAAATTAGCGACTGCCCTTTATGGGAGTTTAAATAGCGCGATTTGAAAATTAATCCCAACATTTTCCCCTTTATTAATAAACGAGGAATAAGCTTAGATTAGTTACGACGTGTTTTGTTCATATCACTCGAATGCCATTTGTCATTCATTGAACAAAGACAAAACACGGAGTAACTAATCAGAGCTTATTCCTCGTTTATTAATAAGGGAGTTGGTGGTTGCTAGATGGAGGAGTGCAACTTTATGATTATTACTTTCTGGCATCGACCCTGAGTGCATTCAGCGCACTGCAGACGTTTTATCATGTCTTTGAACCTGGCGCAGCTGTTCATTTGTTTTGATAAAATTGGAATGGAAACTCCACTTTGGAACAGTCACTTTGTTTTACATTGGTAACGCGTTTAAAGATTGAGTATCAATCAGGCTAGAAATTACTGACACTTTTCTTTTTGAAGTGAAAACTTCTTTAGTATCGTTGTGACTTGAGATTTGATAAAACGGAAGTAGAGTATTTGACACAAGATAGGTATCCGTAATTTTACCAAAGTGCCAACAAAAACCAGATGGCGCATTTTAGGATTAAACCTAATAG